CATCACTGACAATCAGAAACAAGCCACATGGTTAATGGTTACTTAGTTAAGGTTGCCAAAGGTCCACGAAGGCCCCCCCTCCACAGGAAGTGAACTCTTCTCACTTCTGTCTCATCCTTTCCTGGAACGTTAACTGTAGTATATGTGTGTGAACCACATTTGTGTGATTTATAAGCTCCTGGCGTTGGTATGACAGATTCCTGTATGATTAATAGGGAATTCTCTGTCTCCCTTGCTCTTTTGTCTCTTTTTGGACTCAGGAGGAGTACCTGTCTTTACATGCCTGCAGTGTGACATCGAGTGTACTTTCCGTAAATAGACACAACTCTAAGGCAGGAGGATTGCAAAACTAAACACCGTTGCAAATTACCAGAAGTACTTCACCCTGAATACACACTGCAGGCTCTGTCAGTGTCTGAGACAGTAAACCGTGCAGACGCTTCTGTGGGACAGCGTGTGGTAAAAAACCTCTTTCTCAATCTGTCTGTGAAGCAGCAAATACAGGACAAAGAAACGATAGTCTGCTCTACCTTGTTGTTTTCATACTTGTAGGGGATCTGTAATGTGTTCATGGCCTGGACCATAGCCTGCATGGCTGTGAAGATGTTCTGGTATACCAGCCTGGTGAAGCCCCTCTTGTCCTCATCAGAGTATCCGCGGCCATGGATGATCCTCATCTGCTTGATGAAAGTGCTCTTCCCACTTTCCCCAGTTCCTAACCACCGACAAATACAGACCATTACTGTACACAACACATTAACTTAAAGGCTGGGATTATTCTATGTTTGTTATTATCAACAAATCCCATTAAAGGTGGGGAGAAAGGTTTGTATTTAAGCTAAATTTGTTGTTGTGATGTGCTCATAGGTCTTGTGGCTATAAAACCCATTGCAAACTTTGTACCGACAAATACCATCCACATATTTGGTTTATGATGTACTTTGAGTTTTGTGCTGATTAGCAAATGTTAGCATGCTAATATGCTATACTCAGATGGTATGCACTATAAACATTATTATTATTATTATCATTATATTATTTGTTCACAATCAAAATAATTTATCCCTAAATTTTGCCTGCTGTATTATTATTATTAAGTGTTTTTTTGTCTGTATTGTGTTAGAAGTGCTTTGACATCTCACTCTTACGCAATCTTGGACTAACTTTAATTACCATAGTCTGGGTTTTATCTTATTCTTGGACCCCGTGGGTCTTATGTTTATGTTTGAGTCAAGTTTTACAACAATATTTTGTCATCTCACCAGTGACTGCCTGTGTCTTTGAAAAAGCTGAACTACAAGACGTTGCAGCATTTCCCCCTGTAGCTGAAAAAGTTGAAATGAAAGTATTCATTGGCAACCACGCGAGAGCTTTTCAGACATGGAGAAGTGAAATGTCCCTTTAGCATGTCATTTTGAAAACGTAAATGAAATGAGATGAATATATTGGATGGTTTACATTTGATATGATTATTGAGCCGATTGATCTAAATCAAATATACTGTACAGTTTAAATGTAAGACTTCTTCAAAGTATGCAGTCAGTTTGAGGTGTGGTGGAGCTATACATCTGACCTTTGAACCTAAAAGTCAGCTTGAGTCAATCATTTTTAAAGTAGAATAATCATAACCAACGTGACTGCACCTACACCCTAAACCTACTCACAGCATTGCTGATATAGCCTGTCAAGTGACACAAATAAAAATGTTGCCTCCCAAGATGCTACAGCTATAAATAAATAAATAGTTAATCAGTGATGGAAGGACATTTACTGCACTTGAGTACAGTCTGAGGTGATTGTATTTTACTTTGTACTTCTCCATTACTTTGCAGAGAAGAATATTATACTTTTATTCCACTATGTGTCTGACAGCTGTATTTACTACCTGACTTTACAGATGAAGGTTTTACATACAAAATATATGATCTGAATATAAAGTATGACGTATTGTTACAAATGAAGGTATCAATCACTATATAAAATCTTTAAAATGATCTCCCTCTCAACCAGCTACAACAGTAAAATGCTACTTACATGTTAATGTATCAGTAATAATAATCCAGTGATATATTTAATAACTCTCACATGGGGCATTTTCTGCATGAGTATCTTTACTTTTCTTTTTTTTTCTATATTTTTATATTATATTATTAGGATTCTGACTGCAGGACTTGACATTGTGGTACGTCACGTTCAAGTAAAGGGTCTGAATCCTTCTTACACTACTGATTATAATGACTATAATATTTTTCTACCCATTGTTTCTGTAGCATTTTCTACAGTGGGTTGTACTGTGATCAGACACAGCTCTATAATTTTTACAGTGCACATTAACTGTTCTGTTCACATTCGGCCATAAACACATCATTATGCACTCAAGGTCTTTCAGCCGAAGCACTTTCAAGGCCAATTAAGTAAAGGATTTGTATGTCTAATTATTTATTTATTTGTGAGGAGCTTTAATACTTTTCTATCGTGAATAGTGGTCGAAGAAGTATTGAGATCTTTTACTCCTGCCTTTCACAATCTTCCTCAAAGGGCGTGTGCGTTATGTTTCGAAAGTATAAGAGCTTATTATGAACGGCCCCATTCAGAGTGTTATGTTTATCCCATATACAGTATATTATTGGTACATTACTGGTGCATTAATATAAAGCAGCATTATGTTGCTGTCAAGGTGGACTAAACTTTATATACTGTTGGACAGTGGTGGAGGGTAAGTAAGGTCATTTTCTCAAGTGCTGAGCTTTAGTACAGTTTGGAGGTACTTGAGTATTCCATTGTGTACTACTTTATACTTCTACTTATTTCAGAAGGATACATTTTACTTTTCACACCACTTTTGATTCGTGAGACGATGCTTCGTTTCAGATGTGTATGAGTCGTTTTCAGTTCCACGAAAAGTGATTTCGTCTCTCTAAACTTGATGAAAATGAAAAGAAACGAAACCTTTAATGGTTTCATTTCAATAAACGTTTGAGGCCCAGTAAAAGTGTCCAATATTCTGCAGGAAAAGCAAAGATTCTCCTGCCTTGATACATAGTAACATACTTACAGGAGCCAGTTATATGCAGAATGAGTACTTTTACTGAAGTAGGATTTTAAATAACTTTTACTTGTAGTGGAGTACTTTTATATTGTGGTATTGGTATTTTTACTTAAAGTAAAGGACCTGAATAGTTGGGTTATTTTAACCACTGCTGTTGGCTGGTTTAATCAATAATGCATCATACTTTATCAACAGACACTGATGTTTTAAATGTAAAAGTGTGCATCAAGCAGATGCTGATATAGATTAAACTGCCCAACAGTATATCAAGTATTTAAAATAATCTGCGCCTCGACCAGCTACAACCTTTTTACTCTTTTATGCATCTGTAATAATACAATACTCTAATGTAATGTGACTCTGAATCATTAAGACTACTTTTGCTTTTAATACTTGATGGACATTTTGCTGATGAATTGCAGTAATAGATGGGACTTGTAATGGAGTACTCCACTCCACTTTCGTATAAAACATAAACTGTTTATATTCAACCACAAATGTGCCACCACATACTCGAGTACTGTCGAGTACTGTTTACATCTATTTTTTAGTGAGTTCATTTATAGCCAATAGTGTAAAGTATGTACATTTACTCAAGTACTGTATTTAAGTAGAGCTTTGAGGTACTTGAACTCAAGTATTTTAATTTTCTACTACTTTATACTTCCACTCCAATACTTTGCAGAGAGCAATATTGTACTTATTACTCCACTACATTCAACACCCATAGTTACTTTACAGATTAGGAGTTTCCATACAAAACAATCATTCTCATGTTATTAAATCATGAAAATAATAACAATCAATAACAATAATGCAATAATACAAAATATACACACTCTGAAATGGGCCAGTCTGCATACTAGTTCTTTTTTAGTACTTAGGTACATTTTGAATGCAGTATCTTTACAGAAGGATACAGTCTGTTTGTTTTTAACTCAAACAGAACATCTGAATACTACTTCTCCACCACCACTGCTTATGAAAGATTATTTCTATTAAAGTATTTTGCGTCCCTTACCGAGCAAAAGGAGCTTGTATTCCCGTCGGGAGTCCCTCTTGTCCCGGCGGAGCTGCCTCTCAATCTCATCGTTGATCCTGCGAGCCTCTTTGGCCTCTGGGCTGAGGCAGCAAGCCCCCACGGAGCTCAGAATCATTACTCCTGGATAACACTTCTCCTTCCGAGGCACAGACACATACATAATGTTGGTTACACAGGACGGAGAAAAAAAAGCCCCGAGTTATCCTAAAGTCAATTTATTTTGATTAACCCCTCCACAATAACCCACTGCGTACGCCAACACAGTACTCTCCTGAGCTGGAAAACAATGTTTAACAAATGTAAATTCAAGGAAGTAAAGTAGGTTATTCTCAAGGCTGTTTGCATTACCTTGTTCCTCTCCTGTGAAGAGGAAATTAAGTTTGTGCAACAACTTAAGAAGACTGTGAAGTAGCGAGGCTTTACCCCCTTTGGTAGCTGAGCTCCGGGCGTGGTGGGCTGAATATGGCGGAGTTTCACTTCATAGCGCTACAAAATAACAACTAAAGTCATCCAGGGGAATACAAAGTACTCAAACGCCACGTTCTTTGTTTGTTTTGTTTTCTTTTGTCTTGGTTTGCGAGAGATGCTCGGTGTTATCTTCCCCTGCGTGCAGTTTTGTTTGTCCTGTCTCTCTCTCTCTCTCTTCCTCTCTGTCTCTCTATCCTGGGTAAAAAACCAACAGTGGACCATGTGACGGAGGGCTGTGCTCTGATGGGAAACCGTGTGGGCTTTCTCTATTACATTATGGGAACAAATTTCCGGTGTTAACTAGTAAACTACGGATGCATGTGACAGTGAGAGCAACAGGCTGACACACCTCACCTTCACTAGAAACCAATTACAAACCGATACAGCTGGATGTGCATGCTCTTATTCCTCTGTTGGAATAAAGAGACAAAAAGCACATGGTCGAACTGTGACACAGACTTTATTTACTCAACACCTGCAGGTACTACAGATATCATTTCATACAGAGATACAGATATGACCGGACAGAAAACACCACTCATGGACTCCTTACATCAAACTGCAGCTTAAAAAAATGCTTCCAAAACTGTCAAAATTAAAAACAATTATCAAGAATAAATGGATTTAAACAGATTAGATATTAAGGTTTGCATTACAGCGAGTCCATCACGGTGAGTGGCAGAAAATAAATCAAATAATAAGAGAAAGAAAGAAATAATTGACCAAACCTGTCTTATGGCGCCATCTTCTTCCAAGAGAAAGTATTCTGGGCCTATTTAACTACTCATGAAATTACTGTTTCTATGTAAATATATACACACACTTTATACAGCTCCTTGTCTTTCAATGAAAAACAAAAATTCTTAAAAATTTTCTTTTAACTATATCACACTGGCACGTTTATCCCAACTTAAAGCAAAAGAACGACATTGAGGAGAACTCGCTCATTCAGTTTCTGGTGCAGAGTTAGCTAGCCAGATGAGGGAGCTGATACCGCTTCTAATCTGTCCATTTTATATTATAAATATAAATATATTAGCAAATTGTGAAGCTAGGTTGGTGCTAGCAGCCAGTTAGCTTAGCACAAAGACTGGAAACAACTAGCAGCAGTACCAGCTGCTAACACATTGTTTGTGGGGTTTTTTAAACCAAACAAACAAAAAAAAGAATAAAAACAATAATTCATTGGTTTACATGGGGTTACAAGAGAGACTGAAGTTAAATTACTGCTCACAGGTAGCTGGCTAACTATATATATCACCTGCTCTAAAAAGGTAATTTTATATTAGTACAATTTGCTTTTTGTACGTATTAAACAAAACATGAAGTGTTAGCGTTAGAGGTGCTGGTAGGTGGATCATGTGGCCGCTGGACAGAGCCAGGCTAGCTGTTTCCTGTCTTTATGCTAAGCTAAGCGACTGCTGGCTATAGCTTCATATTTGCCACACACACATTAAGTATTGATCTTTTCAATCAATATGATATTTTCCTCTCCCAGAAACACATACCGATATTTCCCCAAAATGTCAAACTTCTCCATTAAAGCCCATCTTACAAAAAAAGCACTTCAGTTGACAGTGGAAAAGGATCTTGGATCTTGTGTAAAAATTAAAAGCAAAATGGTTATTTAACCATTCAGAGACCATGCATCTTCATTTGAAGAGTGTGCTTGAGGGGAACAAAAAAAAAATTTAAAAAAATCACGTAATGTTTCTTACAAAAGATTACATTCTGCATGCTGTACTGAAATGAGGGAGATAAGGGCCAGGGGCGGCACACAACACCAAAAGCTATCACAGATGAGTTTACTCCAATGACGGCACAAGACTCTCCTAAAAAATAATTACACCAGCACAGAAACATGTTGTTGACTCCTCGTTTGCTGTTTGACAGCTTAAGATTTTTTTTTAAAAACTCCTCAAAATAAAAATCGCAATTTATAGATAGATGGTTGTAGAGTGTGATAGTGAAGGGAGGGGGCACATCTACCCAAAGCAGAGGAATGTAGGCTCTGAATAAAAGGAGCAAACAGTATGGCAGCATGGCTTCAATCTTCTTCTTCACTTCCTTGTTCCTAGAAGAACCGCCCGGAGTACTGCCTCACACTGAAATAAGAGACGGATAAAAAGGTGAGGACATTTCATGATAACATTAGAGAATATTTATTTGAACAGGACCTTGACATGGGGGTCACGAGCTGTTAATGCTAGATGCTGCAAACTGTTAGACATTTTTCATGTGGAGCACAATTGTTAGTAATAAAAAAGTATGCCAAGGTCAAGGCTGAAAATAAATCGTCTGCAAGAAGCAATGTGACTGCTGAGACCAGCTTTAGCCATTTAGTCATGGGGAGGGGGTGTCTATGAACTGAAATGCTCTTGAAGATGAAATACCAGTAAAAAAAAAAAAAAAAAAGGTGGAAGACCCTTATGTTCTGGCATAATGTTCTAAAATCCAAAACATTATATAAAGCAGTAAAACACTTGATGAAGAAAACTCATATTTTACAGTCCTTTGATCTTCATATACTATATGTGTTTCTTGCTGTCTCCCTTTCCTCCCTTGACCAAACCCCTAAACCTATGTTTCCTTCCCCATGTCCCCATTGGTAATCACATTCGGTCTGACCACTACCTTTTGTCTTATTTCCCTTTGACTCCGATGTTAATCATGTCACGTCTGGTGACTGCCTGATCAATGTATACCACTTAAAAAATTTCTAGTGTATTGGTCCATGTATAAAAGTACCTCATTTCATTTTCATTTCTATGAGTCGGTAAGCTGACTCACAGAAATGAAAATTAAATTAGGCTCTGTATGTAAGTTCACCAGGATGCCGGCATGCTTTAATAAACTCACACCACCACAGCAAACCTGAATTGGACTTGAATGATTTTTTCGACACTGATTTCAAATGTATAATTTCAAATGTCTAATAAAAAGGTAAGTTTAATGAAATTAGGGCTGCGGGTAATGCTTTTTTTAAAAATCAATTAATTACCAATTCATTTCTCATTTTGTCCATAAAAAGTCACAAAATAATGAAAAATGCATGAAAAACAGCAGATCTTTTACAAATTTTTCAGACCAAATACAAGTACTTATATTTACGGAGTACCGATACGAGTACTTAATAATACAATTACAGTTCTAACAATGACCTTGAAAACATGCTTTTTTTTCCCCCCATCAGCTGTTCCTCACTTTGACTGTAACAGATTAAATGCTGCTGATGTTGTTGTAAAAAATGTTTAAAATACCTCCAAACTGCTGACATTGCTTCTTCTCCGCCTACCTGCTCAACTAATGAGAGGTTACATAACGTCAAGCTGCCGTAAAGAGGTGTCAGGTGCAGTTATTGGAGTAGTTTGATTACAAGTAAATGAGCAGTATCGGACCAGATACTGGTATTGGTGCATCCCTACTCACATTTAAGGAAAGCTGAAACCATAAAATGTTTTCCAATTTTTACTTAAGAGTATTGAGTGAATGAGTAACTGATTAGCAAATTTTTTTTTTTACTGATCTTTGTCAACTTATGGACTAAAGAAACAAGGAAGTAGCAGTAATAATGAAAGCAGTATATGGTGTAAAGTACAATGAACATCAACTGTGGTCGACAAACTTATGTTTTATGTATTTCACTGTTAAGACTGTGTTTTACATGGCTGCATAACAAATTCACCCACGGGAACAATGCAGTTAAGTCGAGGTTAACTATTTAACGCAGCAAGTAAAAAAAAGGTAGCGGATGAGCATACAGGCCATCCGAGGAGACCGCACTGCTTCAATGAGATGAGGTTTTTTTTCTTTTTGAAGAATCACAGGAGCACATGCCTGTTCTGCAGCAGGTACTGGGCATTCTGGATCTGGTCCTGTGTTCCTGTGATGGTGATGATGCGGTCCTCAGAGCCCTCTAGTGGTTCATCAATCTTGATGGATGCCCCGGACTCATGGCGGATCTGCTTGATCCTCTGGCCGCCCTTACCGATGATGGAGCCAGCAAGCTGCAAAAACAAGCACACGGGCCAATTGGAAATGGATTTAGGAGTGAAATGTGTTTTCTGTTTTCTTTTCTTTACTGCAAGAGTTATGTTTTTTTGAGAGTGAACAGATGTCTTACTCACATCTTTTGGGATGGTGACTTGTGTTGTGATGACTGGGCCTCCAATGTCACTGTATGAGCCTCTACCACCTACAGCAGGAGGTGAGAAGGAACATTTAAGGTGAATTTGGCTCTAACTTAAAGCATGCAACATAATCCCTTTAGGTTAGGAAGCAAGACACTGGGACAATAATAATCCATCCCCACTCACCGGACTGAAAGTGCTCCCAGGAAGAATTGTTGTCTTTGAAAATATTGGACAGGAAACAAAGTGAAAATAAAAAAATAGACCACATGGAAAAAGACAAGAGATAGTGTGATACAAATAACACAACAAACATCGAAGACTAGCTGTCTATGTGCTCTAACAATCATGTTAAAGGAAAATGATGTTTTTCTCTTATTCATTGATGTAATTCCTTGGGTGTGGGAACATGTCGAAACCTGTTGCCACAGCTTTACAACAGAGTTTAAAGGGGGAAGCACCATGAGTGATCAGTGAACCAGACAGGTTTTAAACAACTGACCGATGAGTTTATTCTTGATCACCTTTTTTTATTATGTTTTAAACACATCCCAGTTTTAAAAAAAAAACCCAAAGTTGAGTAAACCAAAATTGAACCGGTCACACAAACAACAAAAAACATTTAATTTTTGTGCTTACTTTTCTAAAAGCGGTTTGGATTATACACACTTTATTAGGTACATTTCCACAGTCTAATGCACTTTAATACAACTGTTTTGCCATAAAGTCTACTTTTATAGGTGTTTTTTTATATGATATACATTTTAGCATTTGTTGTGGTGTTTCAAATATTCTGGGCCCCTCATGATTGTCAATAGGGAGGACAAAACATTAGAAACACCTCTCAGTAGAATGTAATCCATAAAAATGACTCCCAGATTAAAGTAAGACATGATTTTCCTTTGATGAAATAACTCTAAATCTGTGCTGGATTTACATAAACATCAACACTCACCATATCCGCCTCCGCTCTGCATTTCAGGATTGATTTGAGAAAAAAAAAACAAAAAAAAACAAACAGTTTTAATGGCACAATAATGACAGTATGCTATCAGAACCTTTTAAAGTTTTATGCACAACAATAAACCACACACACACACACAGACACACACACTATATCCATTCCACATTATATTATGAACAAGCTGGCCAGTGCTAGGTATCATTTTTGTATCCAGAACGGTTTGAATTATCCGAGGCACAGATTCAGCAAGGTGCTGGAAATGTTCCACAAGGAGTCCGTGCTGATTCCACAGCATTGAGCAGTGCCTGCACATTTTTCAGTGACATTCATGCTTCAAATATCCCATTCCACTTTATCTGAAAAGTACATTATTGGTTTGAAATCGGAGGCCTGCGGGCCACTGAAACAATCTGAAGTAACGATGGGGCCATCCTGAGATGATTAGTGTTTTGTCAATATCTGTCTGGAATTACTTCTTTTTTTTTTAATAAAAGCTGACCATGGCAATGAAAAGATATGCCTGCTCAGCAATACAGTGATGTAATGGTGATAATAACTTCCATGCACCTTTTATATGCTCACTAAGCTGAAAAGTGGACACACACACACGCTGTCACTGATGGAAAGCACCTGAAAGCAAGTCCAACATGCATCATCTATTGGCAAGAGCAAGACTGGCAACAGCTGCAGCAGTTCAGCACTGCAGATGTAGACATGTTGGTGGGTGCCATCGACGGCAAAGGACAGGAAATTCTTGTGCGATTTTGACACATTGTTTTCTATTAAAAAGCTGGTGAGCAAGTCTTATATTTTAGCATGAGTTTAGTTTATTATTGGACAGCAGAAGATGAAAACATCGCCTGGTCTGACGAATCTTAAAATTCTGCTGTGACATGCTGATGGAAAGGTCAGAATTTAGTGTAAACTACATGAACCCATGAATCCTTCCTGACTTGTATCAGTGGGTCAAGCTGGTACTGGTGATCTATTGGTGTGGGGAATATTCTTTTTGCACACATTAGGCCTCTATAATTCCAATGAAGCAACATTTAAATGCTACAACCTACCTGAGTATTGTTGCTGACCATGTCCTTTTATAGCCACAGTCAACCCATCTTTGACAAGCTACTTCCAGCAGATAACACACACACACATACAAAGTACATGTCATCCCAAGCTGGTTCCACGAACATAACAGTAGTGGTCGACCGATACGTGTTTTTTTAATGGCTGATGCTGATATTTAATGCAGATATCAAAACAAATAAAACTCATGTATAATTCTATTATTCTGTGCAATTACAATCTAATATACATGTTATCTTAAGCAGTAAGATGTGGTTTTAGAGGAAATTTCCATGAGTTAATAAAATAGAAAAAAACATTGTTATGCTGAACATGACTGATATTTGAGGGAGAGTGGTGGAAAGTACGTCATTCAACTGCATTATTCTATCCATTATAACATACCGGTAATACATATTTCACACTAGCCAGTAAAGGTTTTAGATTAGATATGAAGTAATTTAGGAAGGGAGAAACGCGTTAACATTTAGAAGATGACGTAGACTGAAGAAATTTAGGCAAACGTTTACAGCAGGGTGCAGACATTTTGAAATGAAATGAACGGAACTGTGTAGCCAACACATCTGCAGCAACTGGGCGATACCATCATGTTTACATGGACCAGCACCTTTAAGGAATGTTTCCAGCACCATGTTGAACTATTGTCATGGAGAATGAAGGCTGTGCTGGCTATAAAGTCAACCCAGCTCAAATAATTCTGGTTAGTCTGGACTGGGAAGAACAGGGGTTCTAAACAATTGATTTAACTCTAAGAGGATGAGAAAAACTTTTTTTTTTAAATAATTTTGGATGCTAAGATATAGGTTGGAAAAAGGAAGATATGTCACTGAACCATTTTACATTAAAGCAGTCACAGGTAGGAACTCATTCGGAAAAGAAACTTGAAACTGGGTCAGAATATGAAAACTTATTTAGTGCTTGACCCCTTTTTAAAGAAAAAACTATCTGGGATATTAGTTTTTTTTTTTACAGACTTGCCCATATTTAGGACATTTAAATGCACAGTAATAATTTGCTATAAATCTATTTGTTAATTAGAGCAAGGTCATACTAAAAATAAAAACATACATTTCTGTTATTTAAGCATGTTGAACCTTCTCCATTACCACATGCAGTAAACCAGATGTATTTATAAAGCTTTCAGATCAGTAAAAAAAAAAAAAAGAATCTTTTTTAATCATCTATCTTCTTATCATGTTTAAGTAATTGTTCATCTCTTGGGGCTCACCCTGCTGACATTTATAAGAAAGACACGTCTGTTATTTATGTTCAGGCCTTAAAGCTCAAGAATGAATTGACATCTATTGATATTTATTTGATCAAATATTTTCTTTTACTTCTTACTGGAACAATTTGCTTGCAGCTAAGACCTGAAAGGGAATCTGTTCAGTTACTGCTTTGGTTTCAGCTCAAGTTCATTTGCTAGCCTGGTGGATCTCTGGACTACGTACTCAGCTGCTCTGTGGTAACCAAGGAGACAACTGTTGCCAGGCAACAACAGGCCGAGATCAGTGTGCACACACAGTGAAAAAGCAGCACATTGTCCATGCCTCTGTGCTTGTACTACACTCAGAAAAAGGAATTCCAATCACCTCATATGAAAAAATTATTCACAAACACCTACTGCACACAACAAAGAGGCTACAAACACACAGCCTCGCGTTACAGCAGCACCTGTAAGCACAGACGGCACTCACCATGCTGTCGTAGCGGTCTCCTCTGCCTCTTCTGTCGCTACAGAAAAAAAGATATGCATTAATATAGTTTGTCTACTCTAGAGGACACTTAACACTACAGTATCAAGCAGGTCAGCACTGTTAGATTGGTATTTAGAAAACTGTGAATGTGAAAGGACATGCAGACTCTACAGATGACCTGTGATCAGACTCTGAATCAGGGCTGGTGGGTTGACATTCTGCTTCTGAGCAACTATCACCGATATCTGTTGCTCTACTTTTGAGAGAAATTAAATTGTTGGCAATCAGACTGTATTCACCTTGGTCTGTCGTCCATGCTGCCGTGATAGCTGCCATGTGAGAACCTGTCTCCCCTGCAAACAATGACAGACAGGGAAAGTGTGTTTGAAAAATAAAATGTAAAAGTCTAACTGTATCTAAATGATTAACACTGCAGTTTAATTTATTTGGTCCGAGACATTATACATTCTTGCCTCAAGTCATATAGACAGACAGGCAACTAAGCATCGCTACATAGATTCATCTAGGGAAATCAAATTCTGGCAACAGAAAGCAAATCATGCATGTGCCTTTTGATAATACTGATTTTATCTGGAGAAAAAAGAAAAAAGCACCAGCGTCTTGTATATCATGAATGACAAACTGACAGAAACGGGAAAAGAAGGCATTTGGTATCATCATTTTAAGGGAAAATAATTATCTGTTTGTGGTCACTACATCACAACGTTTCAATTTTTCATTCGAAGCTGCCAAAATACACGCATGAGTTGGCCATAAACTAAACATGCCTGTGGCTTAAGAGCCTCCTCTTTAGACGGTCTCAGTTTGGTTATTTTAGTCCACACCTGATTAACAACTTTCACACCAGTGAAAACAAACTGCCTGCCAAACCACTCAGGGAAATGCACCAGTTTGTTTCAACAGCACCCACAGGAACAGGAAGTGACCCCCTCCTCACCCTCCTCTTGGTGGCGGTGGCGGAGGAAGAGGCAGGTTACGTGCACGGCTGCCCCCTCGTCCACCTCTGCTCAGTGGTGGTGGGGGACCCCGACGGGGGCTCATGTCGTCGTAGTCCCTTCTGGACGGAGGCATGGGTCTGTTGCCACGAACGGGGGGCATGCGCTCAAAGCCCCCACGCACACGAATGGGGAAGCCACCTATGGGTCGTCTGCCTCTCTCCTCGAATAACATGGTGAAACCACCGTAGTCATATGTCTCATCGTAGAAATTGGGGTCATAAGGCTGAGCACGACCTTTGATTGGTGCCTGCAAAATGAAGGCAAAGGAAATTACAGAGAAAAGATTGTAAAAGACTGCTCTGTTCACAAATGATAAACTATGAACTTCAGCCTCTAATCTCATAACTATTCCTTACATCTGCATGAGGTGAAACACACAACTGTACAAAGTGTGTTGAGGCTTTCAACTGATCTCAGAGATGTAAACTGACCTCTGACACCAGCTCCAGGATAACTTTTATACATTCAATGACACGTTCTGGCTTTCCTCCCACCAAGACGACCCTGTCAGTGGAGTGTGGACAGCACTCCTGGAACAACTTGATGGTGGTCTGGGTGTTCTAGTGCACAGAAACATAAAAATGTTAGGCTCATAACCAGAAAATCTAATTCACTTATTGCTTTGCTGCTGAACTCGCTGATGACACCAGCAAATAAGTACTCCTTACATTCATTTATGTAATGTAATTATTGCTACTGCAACTCACAGAATACAAGTAACAATTATGATTCAAATAATTCATCTTTAGGCCTACTGTTGCAGAGCATCATGGCGAGGCTCCTGCTAATCTGGACTCTGTCTTACCTCTCTCAGCTCCTTTATCTTGGCACCTTTAACCCCGATGATGCCTCCTGCCAAGCTCTGATGGATCAGCAGGCGAAGCTCACTGTCAAAATCAATCCCACTGTAATGCTGGTACTAAAGAAACACAAAGCAAGATCATTCATGTCAGTAAGGCCTGAAATTCGTCCCATTGCTGATTAACGAAGCATTTCTGCAATTAGATACTCAATATAGCCAATGTGAAAAAAAAAACTGATGGCCATCCTACTGTATGCAAAAGTAACATGGATCTATAAGGAAAATGAAAACAAACATGTTTAAAGCAGAACACACTGAGCTATATATCAAGAGAAAATTATATATGTTTTAAATATTGGGGTTTATCAATACTAGGAGTGTTGTGATATACCTGTATTAATGAACAGTAATATTTAACATTTTAAATATTGATATCAAGCTAACAATGTAAATGTAAGTAATGTAAATAATCCAGCGACTCTAAAATTCTGTTTCTTTCCGTTCCCGCTTTGTAGTTCACACTCGGTGTAATTGTTCTTTTTGTATAGTAATGGTTACAGCTCTCTTCACCTCGCTACACTTGTAATTTATTTGCCCCCCAAAAAAGAGACAAAACACACAGTAAAAGTTAAAGATGATTTTGACTTATAGTGTTGTTATTATTTAAAAAATATGAAATAGTAGCAATATAAAAAAAAGGAGCATGTACCAATTTTAGAAGATACGTTTTTAAAGCAGCAACTGACAGACATAGATGCCAAATAACTGGCACCCAAATTGCTTTTGCATTAGTCTGAGAAATTATTATACGACAAGAGAAACTCTCAATAAATTATTAAAGCGTTTGCCAAAAACAGAAAACTGCACTGTTTTAGAAGAATAGTGGTGGCAAAGATTGAGATCGTTAAAGAAACTAAGCTTCCACTGAGTAGTTAGAAAATCACCAAAGAATTCTGTGACAGGCTAGAAAAATAAAATGTGCAGATTGCTGTGAGCTTCACAAAGGTGGCAGACATGTAACTTGGAAAAATATATCCATGGTCAACAAAGTAAGATGCATAATGTGTTATGAGGCACACACAAACCTGGAGAAATAGACATGTGATCTTTCCCTTTAATGACTGGACACATCTGAAGCAATGTGTGCTATGTCTGCTACATGGGAGTGGACTGGAGGCTATTGTAACCTGAACAAATGAGTCTTAAAGTAAAGGGTTGCGGGGCCGGTTAAGCCAGTTTTGTTATGTAAAGCTCAGGTTGGGGTTTGGTTATTTTGTCCATGAATGTTGTGTAAGCAAATCAATCCGCAGTGCATGCTGCATTATCCCAGTGCACTACAGATCTGTAGTAAATTAAATGAGGCAAAAATAAACCTTTAAGTCTTCAGATTCAGGTGTAAAATAAATCTGGTGTAAAACGGTCAGATCATGTCTTAAAGACAGTTATTATCCAGGTTTAGGTCTCAGTTTGAAGATGCTCTGTGGAGTTTTATTGTAAACAAAACTTATGTTTACATTCAGAGTTCCTCACCAAAACACACTATCTGTATCTTTGAGGTCTAACAATTGTTTTGAATGACGTACCTTCCTCATAAAACCTGAATCTTGAATTGTTTACATCCATGCTTACAAGGTAGCAGTCTTCTTCACTGACCTTGGTTGGCACATTACTGCCACCAACTGAGTGGAATAGCACAAAACAAAAGCAGGATTACGGACTGTATAATAGTGGATGTAGCTTCCGGGTCTGCTTCCATTGATTGCTAAAAGAAGTCAGACTGTATAGAAATCTATGAGAAAATGACACTACTTCTCACTTGATTACCTCATTAAACCATTTTCTAATGAGGTTGTCAGTCAAATCTACCCCACACTCCTCCCTAGCTCCCCCCTCTCGTCCAAATATGCCCACTTCGGGCAACCCCAATAATGAACTCAAGGCTTCGAAACAGTAGTCCACAAACCAATCGGTGACGTCACCGTGGCTTCGTCCACTTCTCTATATAGTGTATGGGGAGGATGTTAATTGCACTGCCTGCGTGTCCTTTCGTGTGCTTCACATAGTACCTTTAAGGCTTGTGCAGAACTTTGAATTCTGCATTTTAATGACCAAATGCAAGTTTTTTTCTATTCTATTAATTCCAACAGGCAACAAATTTCAAAAGCCGATGTCATCAATCATCCCGGGCTGCCCTCTGTTCATGTACACATAATTAACAAGTTAATTAACATGGCGGCCTACCTCCTCTAGAGTTGGTATGATTTTCAGAAGAATCTCTCCAATAGTGTCGATGCTGGCATTCACACTCAGGATCCTGTCAGGAACCATTGCGGCCAGAAGGAAGCAAGGCATTACAAGGGGGACAAGAAGTAGAACACAAAGCAAAACCTGACAAAAAGCAGTCCAGCAAACGGTTACTGACAAACTTACAAAATGTTTCAAACTATAAAAAAGGAAAAATTAAGACTGCTGCACACTACGCACAATTATAACTTTTCCCCAACACTACAATGATTAAATAAGCAGCTGACATGCACTCAATCTAATATCATTATAAGTAAGAGAAGACTTGGGAGGATGGGCAGCTTCAGAACGGCTCAAATTAACGTGAGACTGGCCACACAGAGTT